TACTGAAAGCGTTGGCGTCCACTAAATGACCACAAGTGTAATTTCAATTTGCTGATGAACTCACATAAAACTTGCCATAATTAATTTGTAGTGTGTGCATCAATGAAAATAGCATTGATAKTACTGGCGTCACGTAAGCGCGCGCTAAAAAGAATCAAAACATAATAATATAATAAAAACAAATAAAGAGTGATATTTGAGTGAAAGAGAAATAAAATAAACTCATATTAGAAGAGAAATGGGGAAGTCGACAACGTGCYATTTGGCGCGTATGCTTCATTCATACTTTCCTTACTTTTTTTATATAAAAAACACAGAAACTTCAAATGTAATAAAGAATATTTATTATATTATAGTTCGAAAGGTAATTCTTTAGCATTAATTTTTTAAAGATTTCAAATGTTTTTCTCAGATGGTCCATCCGTTGAGTCCAATTTTCGATGACTCGTTCGAGTGAATGACACGAGTCATGTTTTGCTCCAAGACCTAARTCGAAGCGGGATTCTCCGCATAGATTTTAGACTTTAAATATAGTCACAGGAAAAAGTCTAACGATGTGATATCACATGGTCAACCCGCGCAAAATGTGAAATTATCTGCTCACCGAAATGTTCTCTCAAGTTAAGTGGCACGAACTGTTTGAAACCAAATGTCGCCGACATTACGGCATCAAATAGTCGGTTATCATGGCGCGATTTCGGTTGCCACTGACGGTTACGTTCTCACCGACATTACTTTGAAGAAATATAGACCGATGATTACACTGGCCTACAAACCACACCAAACTGATTTTTTTTTCTGGATGAAATAGCAGCTCTGGAATATCTTTAGTTTGCTCTGCGTCTCAAGTTAGCATGTTTATATACCAATTGGCTAAAAAACGTCGGATATTCTTGGAAGCGAGCGGCTTTAGTTCTTGCACAAGCTTTATTCTGTACGTTTTCAATTTAAGATTTCTTTAAGTCCAAAGTAAACAGAACTTCAAAAAAAAAAAAAAAACAACAAATGGTTTTCTTCGGCAAAATTAATTTATTTTAATCAAAATAGTCTCGCTTCTGCTTCAATACAGCTGGTTGCACGGTCCAACAGCATGCCGAAGGAGTGTTTTACCTCGTTGGCCGGTATGACCGCCAGGTGTGCAGATACAAGCCTTTTGAATGGCCTCTTCATCTGCATAACGCTTTCCTTTCATGGGCAAATGCATTCTTCCGAAAAGGAAGAAGCTGCATGGTGTCATACCAGGTGAATAAAGGGAGTGGTTAATGGTTAAAATGTGATTTTTGATTAAATGATGTCCTTCGAATGTTGGGTTCTGAGCAATTTTTGATCGTCGGTCAATTTTTGCGGAAGAAACCGTGCACACACCTTTCGTAAGCCCCAATTGTTCGGTCAAACTGCGAAAAATCGATATTTTGGAGATGTTCGATTCCATTTCCATGAATTTCAATGAGGATTTCAGCTGATTTTTGATGAATTCACGCACAGTTTCGATGGAATTTCCGGTGATCACGGATTTGGATTAACCCACATGTTGAGCGTCATTTATGTATGTCTTCACGACCACTTTGAAAACGTTGAAACCACTCGTGCACTCTGCTGCGGGATAGGCAATCATCACCATAAACTTGTTTCATCAATTGAAACGTTTCGGTAAAAGTTTTACCATTTTTAAAACAAAATTTAATGTTGGCACTTTGTTCGAAGCTCATTTTCGCACCGATAACACAAACATATTGACACGTAAAACGCAATCACTCCATTTCCAATCAATGAAATGTCATGAAATTTAATTAATMGATAATATATAAAGATAGCAGATTCTAATGCACCAGTCGAAATATAGATGGCGCCACCAGGAGGCGCTGGATTCAAAAATTCCTGTTTACTTTGGAGCGCACCTCTTATATATATAGCACTGCCGCATAGGGAAATTTCTATAGCTAAACTCTCACTCTTATATGGCATGTCTTTAGTCACTTCCAATCGTAATCCGTAACAAATTTTAAGTGTTATATTCTTCTTGCATTGTTAACGAAGCGAAATTTTCCTTTTTTCATTTAAGAACCACTCTAATAAGCATACACATGTTATTTTTTATGATGTATGCTATAAAGTTACAATTTTTCAAAGTCAGCCGACATGCATGCGTTTTTATGCATTCTTTTATTTCCCTTTGCTTTTTGTGCTTCGTTCTGCTTTCACGCCTGCGTCGTTACTGGCTAGAATTTCCCGCACAAAAAGCTAGAAAAAACGTTAACTTTGGCTGTATTCTGTATTTTGATTTTAATCAGTCAGTTTGTATCTATCCGATCTGAAATTTTTGTCTGACTCCGAATTTCGTTAGTGAATTTTAATAATTTMGTGTCGTTGTGGGATCGTATACCTTTCCATTATGAAATGACAAACGTTACTGAAGAAAATTGTCAAAAGAGCTGGGAAAAATATGGCGTCCTTTGCTGTCCCGATCRGTTTACYTTTGTAGCGTCCCTATTGAAAAACCCTATATACCATATCTTAACTTTGTGCTTAGTTATGYTACTTTATACGTTTTCGGTTAATGGCATTTTGTGGGTGTGGCAGTGGCCCGATTACTACGCCCATTTACGAAGTCATGCCAATTTTTATTCAAGTGACAGCTTGTACGTTAAGACGAACGGACAGACAGACAAACAGGCACCTGTTTTTTACCCTTAATGTCGCATCGAAGTCAACTCATTGACGTGACTCTTGCTTTCTTAGCGAGCAGACAAATGGCGAATCGAAGATACTTGTTATTGCATTGCTCAACCAGCTGACGTACTGAGACACCTTTAGTGAGTGCTTTTAAAATTTCCACTGCGTTTCCCTTTCAGTGAGCAGCTGAGTAAATTTTCAAATTCCTATGTGCACAGTTTCTATCAAAAACTGCATATGTATCAATTATTTATTTTTATGTTTGCCTGCAATTCGATTGTGTGCAATGTCATTTTTGCCTCACCTCTCACTTGTAAATGCTAAATTGAATGTCAATAAAAGAATGTCCGTCAAATTAAAATTGAGTACAACTGCAAATATTTAACAGCAGTCTCTAACAGTCTCAGCTTGTATTTTTTTGTACYGCTACAGGCGTAACAGCGTCAGCTTCCCACAGCACAATGACAAGCACGCGAGTGTTAGTTAACAGCAACGTTGTATTTATGTTGTTGACTTTAGTCATTGACACAATTGCATTTTCAATTGATTTTTTATGCCTACATATTGGTAGTAAATGCAAATGCATGCGCGTCCATTAAGTTTGCACATAAATATTCATATACTAAATTTTGCATTGCCCTCTCCTCTCCTACCTTTGTCCACAACAGCACTTGTGTGCGTGATAATGTCCATTCATTCATCAATAAGTTTATTTGCAGTAATATTTTTTTCTTTCTCTTTTTGCCAAGTGATAATATTTGTTTGCTTTGCATTTATTAATTTATTTGCAGGTTTCGTTTAATTTATTTGCGCAAAAAGCTGCAAACTTTTTTATTGTATTTAATTTTTTCTTGCATCGCAATTTATGGGCTACAGTTTAGTTTTGCAGGCTCCGCGCATTGATTGTGTTTACAGATTTGATTTTGTTTACTATTTTCAGTTATTTACGTAACTAATCAGCATTAATCAGCGCGTGTTTGTGTTTGTGCAAACTATGAGCTAAAGATAGTATAAGACTTGGTTCATAATTTTTTAAAATTTTATTTAATTTATTCCTCAAAATATATTTCGTTGCTTTCAAAGTAATCCTCCTTGGACCCAATGCACTTGCGCCACCGTTTTTTCCAATCCTCGAAATAGTTGTTAAAGTCAATTTCCAGAATAGCCTTCAATGCTCATAGTGATTCACGTTTCTATTGATTYAAAACGGTTTCCCCGGAGCGTTCGTTTGAGTTCGCTAATTAGCCGAAAGTCACACGAAGCTAAAYCAGGCGTATACGGTGGTTGCGGCACGATATTGGTTGAAAGTTTGGCGAARAACWTCGCGCAAACGACGTAAARCACTCAAAAAGTTTTCTTTGTTGACAGTTTATCCGGTCGGAAGGGATTCGGAGYTCACCATACCTCGTTAATCGAAGTAAACTATCAACATTACCTTGATTGTTGACCAGCCTAGACGTGGTTTTTTCGGCTTCAACTCACCTTTGCCACAATACTTGGCCGATTGATCATCTGTTTCAAGGTCATAAGCATAGATCCAAGAGTCATGGTGGGTAATAAAATGTTTCATGACATCCCGTCAGTCGAAAAGCATTGTTTCACGTTAACGCGACCAGTTTTTCGAAAAAAAAAAAAAAAAAAAAAAAAAAAAAATTGTGATTTGACGTGGATTAACTCAGGTAGAGTGCATCGATAAACTTTATTCAATTATTGGCGAGTACCATTGAGCAACAATGTTTATTGATGGTACAAATGGTGCATGGAAACAAGGTCGCAGATCACTCCAAGACGATATAGCAAAATCGTCATGCGACCTAGTGATGCTATTTATCTTTGAATGTTTCAAACTTGCRTCTGAATCATCCKGTAGTTTGAGTAATARTCKCATTTCTAAACTTTAGGGTGMACTTTTTCKTYCTAATGTCTTTTATAATGTATTCCCAGCGTCTCCTAAGAGGGTGTTACCAACAAAAAGTGTCGATAGTAGGTTCTTTCCYTCGGCTSCAAGCATTGGCACTTTCKTTTACCAAAATGTTACCCAGTTTTCGCAATTGGTTTRTTTGGGCGATTTTTAGTGGGAATAACTGCAACACCGGGTATGGTTGACCTATTTCCTTTTTCCATCAACGCGTTCATTGAGTTAACGGTATAACCAACTCAACTTTAATCATCCATCCATTAACAGTACGTTTGTCTGTATGTATGTTACGTCACGTCGACTCGCTGAGTTTTCACGCACACAAATAACAAGAAAAAAAAAACATGTACAATATTATGACAGAAAAGTGAATATTTTATTTCCTTACTTTGCATTACTGCGTCAATAGGACGACGGATGTGCTTTTTTGGTGGCAGCGGCAGCGGTGGCAGTGGCAATGGCAGCGCCAGTTCAARCGGCGCTGATGCAGCAGGTAGGATAACCTGTGCACGCAAACGAATTTGGAGCAATGGAATGGTTTTTTCTTGCAATTTGTGATTSTTTTTACGTATATGGCATATAAGTGTGCGCCAAAAAATTAATTTGCATTTCTGTGTATATTTTTTTTTTGTCATATCTATTCGTTGCCTGCTGGTGGTGCGGTGCTGATGACTGCATGATGGAAATGGAATGGCAACTAGCAACTGCTCAGTGTATTTGTGTGTCCGTGTGTCCGTTTGGTTATATGTAAGGCGACTGTGAGGCATAACAGAAATATTGTATATAGGTTATAAATATATAGGTTATCATAAAAAAATAAGTGTCAGCATGACTTGCTCTCTGCAACAGCTATAATTTGGGATGCTCTTGCGGGAAATGCCTGCTGTTTTAACTGTCCAATACTGCGAAGGAATTGGGTTATCAWTTTTATTGAGAACTTTATTGAAAATGCATATTTATGTCTTTTTTATGTATTTATATAACACATTTTATTGTATGTGCATATAATTAAATATTTTTAAACACATCTTTAAAAATATTTTCCTTTTATTTCAGGCAAAAATCTGTACAACAATGAACACGTAGCAATAAAAATGGAGCCTATGAAGTCAAAGGCTCCACAACTACATTTAGAGTATAGGTTTTATAAACTATTAGGATCACATGGTATGTAATCGCGTTCAATTACTTAAAACTATAAAAATATTACAATATTTAACCGTTAACTACTGAATCCTTTCCCTTTAACTAAAAACTCCAACTCTGCATATTACTTCATTTAAGTTGCTGCCTAGAAATTAAAAGTAAAAAAAAAAAAAAAAAAAAAAAATCGAAATTTTTAACATAAAATTATACTAATTTTTTGAAATAGAAACAACCAAATATTTTTTTAATACAATACATTTTTTTTTAATATTTCTTATAGGCGACAAAAAATAATTTTTTTTAATAATAGTTAATTTACGAAACAGAACATGAAACCTTGTGAGATATATATAATATGATAGCAAAGACTTTACTTGTTGAATATAGCGGTAAAAAATGTGAAAGCTTTCCGAATTATCAAGTCTGAAAGCAAAAGCTTTAGAGTGGACAGAAAGTTGCTTTTAAATTATTTTACAGATTTTAATTTAAAAAATGGAAATGTGGAAGCTCTTCTGCTTTTTAATACAAAGCTCTTTTGCTCTTTAATACACAGCTTTTCGACTTACTTGGTGCAATAGCAAACATTTTAGCGTAACTTGTGTAGATATGCTAGTTAAAAGTGCGACTGCAAGTTCAGTTATAAGATTATTGTTATAAAATATAAAGCTTTTTAAACTTTTGATAAAAATGTATAAACATTTTTCGTTAAAAATAGAAGTATTAATATGCCAAAAAGTTGCTTTTGACTTATTTTACGGATTTTAACTTAAAAAATGGAAAGGTGAAAGCTKTTTAGGTCTTTAGTATAAAGCTTTTCGAATTATTTAGTCCAAAGGCAGAAACTAGCTTTTTAAGATATCTAGTTAAAAGTGATAGTGCAAGCTCATTTATAAGATTTTTGTTTCAAAATCTAAAACTTAAAAAAAAAAAGTTTAAAAAGCTTTATAATTCTTTTTTTTTTTTTTTAAATTAATTTTTCGTTAAATTTGAAAGTATAATTTTTTGGAAATATTAATACTGCCAACATTTACGAATTCTAATTTTAAAATGGAACAGTGAAAGCTCTTTAATACAAAGCTTTTCGAATTACTTAGTTTGAAAGCAAAAACTTTAAAGCAACTTTTGTAGATACGCTAGATAAAAGTTTATAAGATTTATGTTATAAAATCTAGAGCTTAAAGTTTAAAACGCTTCATAATTTTATATTAATTTTTTCGTTAAAATTTGAAGTATAAATATGCAGCAATAGTGCATGAAACTTGCTTTTAAATGGAAAATTGAACTAGGTTTTTATAAAAAGTTTAAAAAGCTGCATAATTTTATATAAATTTTTGGTTAAAATTTTAAGTAAAAGCACAAGTGCCACAAAGTTGCTTTTAATTAATTTGCGTATTCTAATTTAAAAAATAAAAAAGTCAAAGCTTTTTAATACAAAGTTTTAAAAACTATTTAGTCTCAAAGTAAAAACTTTTGGTAGCTTTTGTAGATACACTAGTTAGAATTGTGAGTGCAAGCTCGTTTTTAAGATGTTTGTTATTAAATCTAAAGCTTTTTATAAAAAGAGTAATTCAAATTTGTAAAAGATCTTTTGCATAAAGCTCTTTTCTTACAATGTTTTTATTTAAAGCCTATATGTATACACTTATATGCGTTTTCAGAAAGCTACAAAAGTCAAGTTTCCTAGAGCTTTCCCTCAAAGCTCAAATTCTTGTAAACAYGCAACACCAAATCTAACGCTTAGTGAGAGATTCAGCAATGAACTGAAATATATTTTTTTGTCTGTTATTTTTATACGAAAGAGAGAAAGCTTTTTCCAAATCTAAAACTCAGTGAGAGCTTCTGAAATGAAGTGAAGAGAGAGAGCTTTTTTACAGCTTATACAGTTTGAGGAAATTGTATGATATTTATTCGAAAATATTAAGCAGTCACAAGGCAGTTTTTTAAATTGAAGCTTTCGTTTTTTTTGGTTTTTTTTTGGGTTCCTAACTTGGTAGTTTTCAAAAGCTTTCACAAGGCAGTTTTTAAATAAAAGCATTCGCGTATTATTATTTTTTTGATTTTGTTTGTTTTTCTTTGTTGTTTTCAAAAACTTTCCAAAGGTTTAATAAGTTATTTAGTTTAGTGAACCGTTTTTTGATAAAAATKAATAATTTCATTCAACTGTTAAGCACTATTTCCAGCTATTTATTTGGTTGTTTCTATTTCACACGCTTTTTAACTTAGTGAATATCCCACCTTTAYCACATTCGCATATAAAATAAAATTTTGTCGTAATTTTGCTTGTTATAAAATTCAAAGTTTTGCACCGTTTTTACCTTCGAAGGTCCCCGCATTGTGGGGMAAAGGCACATTTGTTATGAAGAACCGAAGGCTTCAATATCGATTATAATTAAGTAAGAAAAGAAACAAAAAAATAGATTTTCTCGAACATATTTCGAAGGTCGGTGCGTAAGTGAAAAATTAGAAATTCCCCAYGGACAAACCGCACTAGAAAATGAGCTACCAAAAAAGCAAATAAAGAAATATTAGAATTAATATTTTCACAAGTCTCATCATGCATATCTTAAAAAACAAATTCTTGTAATATATCTACACACTTAATGGCTGTAGTAAATACACGCACAAACATATTTTGAAATCGAAAATAATTTGTATAAATTTTTTAAATTATTTTTTACATTTGTTGTACATTGCATTTAATTGTTGTTGCTGTTGCTGCGCGCGTGCTTTTCATCTATTGCTAAAACTACCAAAAATATATATATTCATAAATATAAATCCATCAACGCACACAAATTCGCCAAAAAAATTGTAATGACAACCAACCTTTGCTCGTCGCGTACCAAATAATCGTCAAATCGATGAATCGCATTTGAAATTCCTAAAACACCTGCCGTGCTGTGCTGTGATGCTGTGCCACTGGATATGCTACAACCGCTTGTTATCATGGATCCTACTTTATTCATCACCTGCACCAACAAYCATAAAAAATCATCAATATTTTGAAAACTGCACCCACCATTGACGTGTGCGTTGTGTGACACCCTTTTGAATACATACAAAATAGATAATTGTCCAGAGGGTATACCGCGTGTGTATTATCTGGGCACATGTGGTGGCCGTTATAATGCCATGGTATTAGAGTTATTGGGACTGTCCTTAGAAGATCTCTTCAATATTTGTTCCCGTAAATTTTCTCTTAAGACTGTACTGATGATATCTAAGCAACTTGTAAGTTTACATTATCTTTTTTTTTTTTAATTTTCTGTATGCTAAATTTCGTTTTTTACGTTTTTTTTTCTGCTTTATCTTTTGCTACATTAATTTTATGTATTTTATGAGAATTAAGTGTTTTATTTATTTTTCTGTATCATTCATTTTTATGTTCAAAATAAGTTTTATGTGCGCTATGCTGCTTTTATTGGTTTCTATTGCATACTACATTCGTATAAGCTAAGTTTAGGAGGAATCAAACAAATTGGAAAACTTTATACGAAGAAATTGTGTAAAGCATACGAGGAACACAAAAACAAAAACTACAAAAATACGAAAAAAAAAATTTAAAAGCGATTACTAAAGAAAGCTATGTAAAGCTTTGAAGCTTAAAGCTTGAATATACTCCATTTTAGATTGGGGGTTTAAAAAGGCTTCATAAGGTTTTTGTATTTTGAGAATAAATTCTAATAGCGGAACATATTTTTAAAAGGTGGCGTGAATTTTTGAAACAGAAATTTTTTTTTTATTATGATATTCCAATTCAATAGCAATAAAAAGTGCAGGAAATTGCACCTTTGGGAGAGCAGCCCGTCAGGCTAGATCGGTCGGCTTGATCGTGTCATTATCGAAACATCGTKTTTAAAGTCGGTAGCCACGATTTATCAGAAACTAGTGATGCGATTTTATTGAAATGTTTCGTAGTTCTTCTAAATAGAATGGCCTCGTGACTGATCGCAGTATTTCTTTTTCGATAGCAACTAATTTTTTGAGGGAATCTGTATTAAAAATTATATTCTCTCTTCTTCCAAAATACTCACTGCTGCCAATGGCTGAAATTCCAAACAGTTTTTTTTTCAAATGATCCGCTTATATAATAATATAATATAACTTTTAAGCATATCAATTAAAAGTTATAACAAAAATAGTGAAAATAAGCATTCTTTAGGCCGTCAAAACTCACGTAACCCCTTAAAAAGCTTTAAGGGTGTTTTTTTTTTTGAAGTCAAAAAGTAAGAATTGATATTTAAAATTTGCCTAGGTGTTTTACCAACAACAAAACTTTCATACTTCGCTCTTCTACCCAAATTGCTAGTTTCAAAAGCCGTTTGATATTATAATAAAAGTAAAAAGCTTTCATCAAATGAAGAGAAATAAATCTATTAATTTTTCGGTGATGTGGGTMCTCTACAAAGCGATAAAAAAATGCTTTTGGGCGCTTTTCTTGACAAACGTRAAGCACCTTTTTCTTAAAAAGCTTTAAGTGCATTTTTCCTGATAATATTTTTTTGTACTTAAACTTCCTAGATTTATTTCCCATCAAATAAGCCAGAAAGCTTTTAGAGCTTTTACCACTTTTTGCTTAAAAAGCTTAAACCGCCTTTTCCTTGATAATAATAGTATTTTTCTCTTCTTAAATGTTCGGGATATATTTTCAATTATAAAAGCTAGCAAGGTTTTAGAGTTTTTTTAATGACAACTTATTTTATTCGAGAACGTACAATTTCGCTTTATTTACAATTAAAGAAGCCAAACTTTTATCCATGATCCCTAAAAGCTTTTATTGTGGCAACAAATTCCAAAGCGATGCTTAAAATATATATAGAAATATTTTAAATTATATTTTGCATTTGAGAAACTTTTTCTTAAAATTGGTGAAATTTTCGTTAATATGCCATAAAAGCCATAAGAAAGCTTTAAGCTTAATATAAAACTCGTTTGCGCTTTCACTTAGCGCTTCTGCTTATGCTATTACTCGGCGCTTAAATTTTCCAAACTTTATATTTTATATTAAATACAGTTTATATAATTTATAAAAATCATATAAGTGTCTCAACAGCCATTTTTATATACATATGTTTTCAAATCTAATATGCACATTCTGTGTTAACGAGTTAGCTTAAATTTCTTTATTCCGCGCGTTTTCGACATATTTTTTTTTATATAATATTGTTCTTTACAGTTACGCGTACTCTTCGTGTCCTTACTTTATTAAGATCGTTTTTGATTTTTTCTGCTATTCCTTATTCTTTCGAAATGTTTCTTCGCCTATCTACCACTTTTGTTTACCCACCCACCCCCTGTTCTTTAGAAATGTTTCTTCAATTTTCCCATCATTTCTGTTACGTACTCCCTTTTCTGTCGAAAATTTTCGTCTTACTTCCAGTTTTGTTACACCACTCTTCCAGTTATTTTTCTAGAAATTGGTTTTCGAATTTTGCGCCTAATCCAAATGAATAATTTTTGAACTCGTTTTACTCATCACAAGCCCCATTAAGAGCTTCACATTTTTTATTTTCTCTATCTACGCTCGTTTTCTTTTTACTTCTTTTTATTAGGAAACAGTTTCTTCTTGGGTAATTCAAAATAATTTTAGAATATTATAGATATATATTTTATAATATAATTTTAGGATATTTTGAATTTTACTATTTATTTCTCAGGCGCAACTGAAGCATTTTGTTTAAATTAATAAATCAAATATTTTCTGTTTTTATCAAAATAATTTGTACTCCAAATAACCTTTTTTTTGTTTAAAAGTAGTGGTATCTAAATTAAAAAGTATACATATTGTTAATTAGTTTAAATATTTTTAAAATGAGTTACGCTTAGCGTTGAAATTGTTTGTAAGATAAGATTTTTAAGCTTACTTGTAGTTTTATTTGATTGTTATTACTGTTTGTTCTAGATCTTAAAAATTAAAACAGTTAGTTAATAATGTCGGCTAAAGTCGATTTTCTTATAATACTTTTTTTTTGGTTCAGTATTTAAATTAGTTATCTAAAGCCTAAAGTAAACTAGATTTCGTTAAATACAAATTTAACTACTTAAATCTATTAGTATAATAACGCAGTCCAATACGAATGTGACATTAACTGTTATGTTCCGTTAAATATTCAGACATGTATATAAAAAAAATCATTAGTTGCTTTTTTAGCGTATTTTTTATTTGCATTTATTGAAATTAAATGAACGCGAGACTAAAACTACCCGYCCTACTAAAATAATCATGTACCAACCAAACAAAATGGTTCGTTCCCGCCAACTTCTACTTTGCATTGCATGTTCTTTTCTACCAACCATTGTGTACGCCGTCTGTTAAATTGTTTTTCCCCACACCTTCGTTGGCAGCGCTCTCTTCCTTACCCTTGAAACAACAACCCAACAGCCAATGTCGATTTTTTTTGTACAACTACTAAGCATTTTATTTATCTAAAACAAATATTTTAAATTTTTATGAATTGTAAATATTAGATATATACACACATATGTATATCAAAAGTGATTTTCTCTTCTTGTATAAATAAAAAATTTCTACTATTTACACCCACTTTTATGACTCATCATACTATGTTTAGTACTAACCGCTACTCTACTAGGGTAGTTAAGTGAAACTGCTGTCAGAGAGARTACAAACTTTTTTCGCCAGTATAGGTTTAAAATTTCCAAAGAATTTATTTACCTAACCATTTTTCAAATTTCAAATATGTAAAATGAAGTGTGTGATAATGAAGAGAGAGGATACATATATTTAAAAATATATAGATGTAAAAAAATAGGTCAACCGGCTTTTTTAAAGCTTATCAGTTTATATGTGTGTTTGTAACATGTYAAATATAGTATATCTTTTTTTGTTGATTTTTTTTTAGCATTTATTTACCATGTACTTTTGGGAGACGAAAATATGTCATATTCTAAATTTTAGGCTGTCACAGCCAAGATGTTTTAATATATTTATGGACCAAAACTCGTGATTATTTATTGCTTTGGAAGCGTTAATTTTGTTAAACCTAGGATGGGATTTTTACCATTTTTTTGTGTCATATAAGAGTAAMGACATAAAATTTAATTATTTATTAGTTCTGCATTTTTTTCACTCAGAGAATTTATTACTTGTCAAAGCTTTTTTTTCACGGATTTTCATATAAAGGAAGCTTTGGAACCTGAATGGGATTTTTTTCATTTTTTTATCCTTTATACAAGAGTATTTTGAACATAATTTTTGATTTGCGTGCAGTTTTCGTTTCACTACTCGCGATTACTGCAATAAATTAAATAAAAGGGAAAAATGATAATTTTACTCAAAAAGTACCGCTGTTTATAGCATACCGTTATGGTATTTAATATTAAGAAATTAAAAAGAGTAGAAATAGTAGATTGTTAGGTTAAAATTAAGCCATGTTCCTAACCCCACAGTTTTGGGTTAGGCACCTGGCTGAGGACTTAGAAAAATAATACAAAAACCTAATTGAACTCATTTTAGACAATGTGACCTTTAAATTTGAAAAAGGATATTATTTAAGACATCACTACAATCTTCTAATCTTATAAGAAATTATGCAGATCGGAGATCTATAACTTATAGTTAGTTGCCATACAACTGGCCCTTCAGACTCCAGTACTTCTGCGAAAAACTCGTTTATTTGTCAAGATATATTTATGCAATTTGGCATCGACTATTAACCAAGACATCGCTACAATCTCAGCACAAATCTTTCAGACAGGAAAAATTAAGCATATAGCTAGCTAATTGACTTATAAACTGAACGACCGGCATGAGGTGCTGTCTTTTAAATAATTTTATCATATAGGGTTGCTTAAATTGATGGAAACCATAATAAATTTATTAATATTTTTTCGGTTTTTTTTAATAACCCATTAAAAATTGGAATCGTTGTGAATAAACTTTAGCATTTATGCAACAAGTGCCAATTTCCTACAGGGAATTTGCGTTCGTTTTCGCCCTGTTTTAATAATTCCCATCAGCTTTTCGAAATAGTTTTTGACTAACTCATTCGGTCTTATTATATGGTACATATCGTCTCTTGAAATGCAAAATAACATAACATCACTTTTCATAAAAACGATATAACAGAAACCACTCATATTGAAAAAAATTTGAGTTTTGGTTATTAAATGGTTATATATTGGTTATAAATTGGTTAAATATTGGTTTTAAATTGGTTATATAAGTCAGCAGAACCTGAAAATTTTATGCTCCTTTGATGTAGTGAATCGTAAGCAATAAAAAACTCAATTATGATTTTTTTTGATGATACGCTGTTTTGCATTTTAGTTGACAATTTATAGAACAAAGGTATTATATCTAAATTATACTTTTAGTTTAGGTTATTTTATTCGAACTGTCAACATTTTCCTTTTCTAGTTAATTGGGTTTAGTAAAGGAATATTTCAAGTTGGCGAATAAAGAAAAATAAAGTTCCTGCGCTATTGGAACATTTTAGGGTTGCATTGCTAATTATCTTTGCTGGTTTGATTACTTTAGTACTTTTAGTAGAGTAGTCATGTGACTCTGTGCAGCATGAATATTTGTAAATAAATAAAATAAATATTTAGCAGTAGTGTTCGTCTGTCTTAGCAACAACAAGTAAATTAGTTAAGTATTTATATTTTAAGATGTAAGTATTGAAAGTGCAAGCGTTTAAGGAAGCAGACTGTTTTCGAAAAATGCTTCGAGAATTTCTATTTTTTTACGAGTGCGTATAAGTGCTAACTTCATGGTGCATTTGCAATAAACCGAAATTTAATACTATAAATAAATATATTTTTTTGCTTTAATTAAAGCTTAGCACAAGTACAACAAATGGAAAACAAAAAAAAAAAA